AGGCTGAGATCTGAGGATCACAGTTCAAAGCTATCCTTGGCAGGAAAATCTATGAAACTCTCATCTTGAAAAAAACTACTATAGCTGGGCGCCGGTGGCTCATGCCTGTAATCCTAGCTACTCAGGAGGCTGAGATCTGAGGATTGTGGTTCAAAGCCAGCCCGGTCAGCAAAGTCCGTGAAACTCTTATCTCCGATAAACCACCAGAAAACTGGAAGTGGCACTGTGGCTCAAGTGGTAGAGCGCTAGCCTTGAGCTGAAGAGCTGAGGGACAGTGCTCAGGCCCAGAGTTCAAGCCCTACTACCGACAAAACAACAACAACAACAACAACAACAAAAAATCTACTAAAAAAAAAAGCTGAAAGTACAGCTGTAGCTTAAGTGGTAGAGCACTAGCCTTGAGCAAAAGAAGCTCATGGACAGCGCCCAGGTCTTGGGTTCAAGCCCCAGGATCGGCACACACACATGTACATATATACTTGGACACACACACACACACACACACACACGCAATCTGGAGCAGAGAAAGTAAAGGAGGGAATGTGGAGGTAGGAAGCCAGAGGATAATATTGATATTTGCTAAATTTGACAAAATAATTATGCTATTGGCAAGAGAGAAACAGGTTGTGGAAGACTAGGCAGGGCTGTAAAGGCTATTGGGTGGTCCAATCCACCAAGAAAATTTGGGGTCCCTGAGACAAAAAGCAGGGGGGAAAACATTACTAAAACATTACTAATGCACTGGGAAAAAAAGCTTTTTCCCTTAAAAATATTTTACGGCTGCATTTACAAGGATCACTTATAGTTAAAAAGATCATATGGATGCATGAGTGATAACAAACATCCATATTATAAATATATATGCTGGCATTATCATTCTACATAATGTAAAAATACTACTACTTGATGAATGCATTTTGAGTGATCCTATCATTTCCTTGGCTTACTTTTCAACATATTTGTTATTGACATCAACATTTATATCTGTAACAACTTTATTTTCAGTGGATATAACTGAAACCAGAGCCTGTCCTGCTTGGCACATGGGAGATCATAAATCACGTAGATCATTTTTAATTTTGAGAAGGGTCTTCCTGCCTGTGCAACTATTACTGGAGCTGTGGGGAGGATTTTATATGCTCTGACAACACTGAGATAAACTTCAGATACATTATTGCGAAGTATTGATTTTATTGTCTCTTAGCTGGTGATTCTGGTGAAATAACTTCTTTTTGGAAGGAGCTGGCTTTTGATTTGGGTGAGGTGGGCGACACAGAAGCATTTTGAGTCGGGATGTAGCCCTATGTAGGCTGCACTAGTTCTACATTTCCCAAGGGAGAACCAGCTCCATAAACTCATCCAACTCACGCATTAAACCTGAATTACATCACTATCATCATGCTTTGGGGAATTCAATACACATTCAAAAGTATGGTGCCGGTCTTTACTCAGGCCAAGCTTTTGTCACAAAGTAGATGGTGTCTACTAGTGTGACCCTGGTGCCATTAGCTGCACTGAGTGTAGTGAATTACAACTGAGAGATGGAAGGAGCTGGCCGTGCTGTGAAGGTGGGTGGAACGTCATGGGTTCCAGTTCTCTGCACCTCCTGGGACCTTCTCCTGGTTTATCTTTGGGTCTGTCGCGGCTCACTCGTAACTGTGATTCCCTTTGTCCCACAGTGAGATCCCCAGACTCTCTTCCTCTACCTGGTGCCCTCTCAGCTTCCGCTTCTGCCTGCTTTGCTCTGATTTCCCCTCCTAGACACTGCCGAGAGTAAGGGTCTGACGGCTCCAGTTCACTTCTGCTTAGTCACGGCTCCCAGTCCTATGCCCATCCCTAAGCGGCTGCAGGAAACCTCTACCATGTTGCTCTGAACACATCCCTTCTTCTGACCCCAAAGTCACAGGCCCACTGGAACTGTGGGCAGGGTAGACAGATGCTGAGATGATGGCGGATACAATGACGTATTGGACTGTTGACCAAAAGGTCTTCTCACAGCAAAATCGCTTTCATATCCGTGTATCATCGTGCCCGAAATTCTATCAACCTTGGATTTCTTTTCCTAAACGAGAATTGTGTGTGTGTGTGTGTGTGTCCTGGAGTTTAAACTCAGGTGCTATCACTGAGCTTTTTTGCTCAAGGCCAGTGCTCTACTACTTGCACCACAGTTCCACTTCTGGCTTTTTGGTGGTTAATTGGAGATGAGAGTCTCACAGACTTTCCTGCCTAGGCTGGCTTCAAACCACAATCCTCAGACTCCTGAGTATCCAGGATTACAGGTGTAAGCCTGTAATCAAATTCCTCTGAGAAAGCTAAGACTTGCTTGTAGTGCTAGATATACACTTAGATCCAGTAAATATTAGCTGGATGAAAGATAATAAAGTTCAGTTCATATAATCTACTTTCTTCTGAGAGAAGTTATCCTAAAGACAGTGTAGACACACGAGAAAGAAATGTTATTGGGAGCACATGGAAATCTCACAGCGTGGGTGAGCGGAGAGACATCCTGACCCAGGAAGAACAAGCCTGGGAGGGAGGAGGTAAAAGAGAATGTCACCTTTCTCATCTCTAATTTGTGTTACTTATGAAGAAGTACGCTAAAAATTCCGAACACATGGCTAAACACAAGGGTACATGGCTAAACACAAGGGTAGAGCCCCAAGTCAGAGAATAACAGAAATTCTACTACAAAAGCTTGGCTCCAGCCAGGAGCCTGTGGCTCATACCTACAATCCTAGCTACTCAGGAAGCTGAGATCTGAGGATTGTGGTTCAAAGCCAGCCCAGGCAGGAAAGCTTAGGAGACTCTTATCACCAAATCACCACCAAAAAGCCAGAAGTGGACCTGTAGCTCAAGTGGTAAAGCACCAGTCTGATCGAAAGAGCGAAAGGACAGAACCCAGGCCCTGATTCAAGATCCAGCATCAAAAAAAAAAAAAAAAAAGTTAACAGGCAAAATGAGACGAAGTAATGTGAATTTCAAACACCTGAGAAGATTTTTATCTCGGTCTGCAGTCTACTGTCAGGATATTCTTCCAACCCGATCTCACAACAAAGATGCAGACACAATGAACACTGGTTTGTTTTGTTTCTCTTGGACCTTGTTTACTGGGCTTTGTGAGGGCACTTTCTGAGGAGCTAGGAACTTCCCAGGCCACAGCTGGAAGCATGTGGGTGCATTGTAGCCCAAGTGGGCGGAGCCTGCCATAGCTACCCAGCACTCTCTGTTCCCATTCGCCCCAAGGGATTCTTTGTTTCTGCCCCCTCTGTAGAGATACTCACTGCAGTTAGATTCATAGCAAAGGATCAGCAGTGGACAACCACATAAACCACAGCAATGCATTAAAGTGACACTATACATACTCGATTAACATTAATATCAACAGTTTCATTGTTAAACATCAGGATTCAAATCTATGTAACACAATTTAAAGTGTGTGAGATGTACATGTGTTAACCAGCATTATTATTTTTTTTTTCTGTGTGGGTGGATTTTCTACAATGAATACTAATGTTTTGATGATGGTAAAGTTAATGCCATTAAAGAAATGCAAAGAAAAGCAAGAGTCGATTAACATAAGGTTACAGTGGTTGCAGGGTTGTTTGTCCTATAGAAGAATGACTATCACTGAGTAAAAATAGAATTGTCTTTGGTATGTGCTGGTGAATCTAATTACTACAGGCCAGGCACAAATGAAAGCCAAGATTCACTGTGAGACACTGTTACTGAGATTTGCTTACTTGTTTTCAAAAGGCAAATCAATCAGGATCAAAAGTCTTCCCCAACATGACTCTGGGTTGACTTCCATCGACTTCACTTTTGCCTCCTGGAGCCCTGTTCAGTGCAAATCCTACTCTCAGAAGTGAATCTCAACAGGCCTCCATTTCTTACTGTGGATTGTAGATGCTTTTCCCCCTTGGGCACAGACAAGTAGGTGGAACAGTGGAAATGTGGGTAAGAGAGCCACACAAAGACTCCTGCCTGAGGGGCTGCTCTGAGCCACAGCCAATAAAGACACTGAATGATGAATTCAGAAGGTCTCCTTCTCTGATATCTTAAAACATCAATGTAGCAGGGAGCTGTTGGCTCATGCCTCATGAGGCTGAGATCTTAGGACTGTGGTTCAAAGCCAACCCAGGCAGGAAAATCTTTGAGGCTCTTATCTCCAGAGAATCATCAGAAAACTGGAAGTGGAGCTGTGGCTCAAGTGGTAGAGTGCTAGCCTGGAGCTAAAAGAGCTCAGGGACAGTGCCTAGACCTGAGTTCAAGCCACATGACCAACCAACCACACACACACACACACACACACACACACACACACACACACACACACATCAATGTAACAAACACAATAGCTAACAACAACTAAATCAATACACACATTTAGTCAGTTTTAAGCCACAACTGTAAATTCTTGTTCTTATAAACACTGTGATAATATGGATACTAACACATATGAAGGTACCATTTCATCAAACTTTATACCTTTCTTACTCTCTTTTCCACTTTTTAAAATTAGCACAAATTAGTGGTACACAGTTCTCTTTGTGGGTAGGCACCGCAGGAGGAGGCTGGGCAAAATTTTGGAGAGGGCATCAGGGATGGAGGTGAATATGCTCAAAGTATTTAATACACACTGCATGAAAACAGAACGATGAAACCTGTTCTGAAATTGTTCTGAAATTGAAATTGTTCTGAGAAGGGGAGGGGAGGGAAGTGGGTTTGGATGGGCATCTGCTCATACTTTTCCTGGGCTCCTGTTTATTCCTTCAGGTGAGGCTTTGAGGTGTCAGGATACTAACCTTTCGTCAGCCAGTGAGGGACAGGGGTGGGAAGTTCCCCATCTTTTCTTGGTCTCTGGGGAACAACTCTGGGCCTGTTCCTATATCAGCATCTGCCTGTATCTTAGGATGGTGACCGAGTTGCTCATAGTGGTAACTGGCTCTTTAAAGCAGCTAGCAGTGGCTTCCTTTTCTCATTTCCACACTCCTCCTCCTGGCTCACTGCCAATGTTCTGCTTTCATGAAATGCTGGGCCCAGAACCTGATCTGGATCTTCTTGCTAAGGAGTGCATCTACTGATGGGAGCTTATCTCTAACCTGCCAGTCAGAGTCTCTTATGGTCTTAGGGAAACCCTCAGGAACTATGATCCATGCTCTGCTTTTTGGTCTACCCCTGGTCCAGCAATCCTCATCATACACTGGTCTGAGAACTCACAGTGTCCACATTCAACTTCATACAACTCTCAGGCTTTGGCTTTCTCTAGGTATTGTGGCAAATGAACTATCAAAGTAACTTCTCTGGGTAGAAACAACCCTGCAGACTTGTGAGGGAAGAGAATTCCAGGCCCAGGGCACAGGGAGAATGAATGGTTACTGTATACAACCAAAGCTAAACAGACTAGCGAAGGAATGACTATGAGGCCGTGGGAACAAGGCCTGCGTGTATGTGTGTGTGTGTGTGTGTGTGTGTGTGTGTGTGTGTGTGTGTGTGTGTGTGCGCATGCGTGCGTGTGTGTGTGTGTGTGTGTGTGTGTGTGTGTGTGTATGTGTGTGTCATCTTAGAAGCTAAATGCAGAAAGGTTTCAGGGAGGACGGGATGATCAAGTGTGTGGAGACAGAGGGCCTACCAAGTGACAGGAGTGTGAGAAAGGGCTACTATTAAATCTAGTAGAAGGTAGGGCTTTGACAAAAGCAATTCCAGTGACGCACTGGGGCCCAGAACCTGCAACCAACAGGAAGGAACTGTAATAGTAAATAGCTCATTGTTTCCCATCCAGTTGCTGTAAAGAAAAGCTGAGGATGGGGGAGTGGCTGGAGGTGGGGGGGGGGGGCCAGGATGGGAGAGAAAATCAGTGGGAGGAGGAGGACCTGGAGGTGCAGATACTCCCGGCTTCCTCCAGGAAGTCTCCCATTAAAATACCAACTAGTTCTATAAACAGTGGCCTACACTCAAGTGATTACTAAAAGGAAGGGAATTCTAGAAACTTTTGAGACCTGAATTCATCCAAAGAAGGCTTACTGGCTGGTGATTAGAACTGAAATAGTTCAAGCCCATTTGACTGGGTTCCACCAATGAAGGGAGACTATTGAAAGAGAAGGGCTCGGTTTGAACGAGATTCATAGCCCAGGAGCCTCAGAGACCAAATGTGGCCATATGGTTTCCAGTAATGCAAGCAAGCAAAGTAACAGTACCCTCGTGAGTGGACTTGAAGATTGGGTTCACTGAGAAGATACAGTTTTCATCCCAATCGTAAAGATGGATCTATCTGGGGCTTCTTAGGTGAATAAAAGCAACCAAGTGATTGCAGGATGCAAAAACCAACCTTAATACAGACTCCCTTCTCAATACAGACACCCTACAAAAAGCCAGCATGCTGATCAACAGGCTCTGGTATCCAGTCCCAAGAAGCCTTTGCTGAGATATATGGACATGTTGACATTCTGATTTGTTTGGTGTTCTCATGAGAGTTTGGTGCCAGTAGCAGCCATTCAGAACCGTCTGGAAACAATGAAGCCAAGGATCTAAACAAATGAAGAGCTGGCTTTGAAAGAGCCCGGAGGTAGAGCACAGTCAGCCATCATTAGGCCTCCCAGGTGCCAGCCACACTTCATTATCTATCCATCTATGTGTTGGCCATACGAGGAGTGTGGAAATAATATCTAGAAAATCACATAGGCGTCTGTGGACAATGTGACTAGCAATGAGCAGTGTGCCCCTTTGTCCCTGCAATCCTCAGCTTATGTATCTTTTCTGTACATGAGAGCAATCATGGCGTTGTGGTCTACACGACTGGTTTGTCTTGAGGCTCAGAATCTAAGTCTAAAATAAATGGCGAGATGAACAGAGGGCATCTGAATGCTGTCATCGTGACAAGGCCCGGACCCTCCGAGGAGATGACTGATGTACCGAAACATATCACCACAATTATTTGAGGCTTGAAGACAAGATGAAAACCCGTGAACCCACTGAACAAAAATCTGGGGGAATCCTACCTTTCAGCGACTGGTCTGGCAATGTGCTCAAACACGATCTCTTGCTTTGCATCCTGATCAAATATCCTTTGAAATCTGCAATGTGGAAACATTTTTATTTAAAAGCTGAGCCTTTTTGGACACTACTGGGTTAATAAATCTTGTTGTTCTGAGGGCTTCACGCATGGCCCCATGTTGACATCAGCGGGCTTACCTAACTTATCACAATGTTTGCCCTGTGTCCCACTACACTGGTGCTGTTGTCCCCCTGTCCACAAATGCTGGGTAAACAGAACCGCTTTGACAAGATCTGCACAATCAATCCCTCTCAAAACCTGCAGCAGCTCTGGACCAAATAATAAACTGTGTGTGTTTAGAGACAGTGTCTGTAATCGGCACCACATTGAAATCTAGACAACTGCATGGGATAGAAACCCAAGAACAGGATGCAAACAGCCAAAGAACTCCTGATGTCTGACCTGCAAGAAGGGGATGCAAGTGTGGATGGCACCGCTGCATTTGACTGCAACACTGTTTCTTTCCCACCACTTAACTACTGAATCCTGGTGTCAACAATTTCATCTGCAGGATTTTTTTGTTGTTGTTGTTTTCTTGACTGTGACTCAAAAGTAACCAAGTCAATTAAGATCGATCTCTTCTGCAAAGAGAAGTCTTTCTCAGATTGGTGAGGGGTGGGGGCAGAGGAGGTAGTGTGGGGCCCATGTCACTCTTCTCACAGCACTACTGTGACAGGGCACAAGGGCGGTAGCACCCCGAGCTAAGAGCCACACAAACCGCTGTCTTACAGCAAGGCAACACGGTACTAGAAAGTATGGCCCCACTGAGACATCACAGTGAGTGAGAGGTGAAAATAGAGAGACAGAGACACCGAGAGAGACAGAATGAGAGACAGACAGACAGACATGGATCTGAGTTTTATCTACTGGGTGAGATGCCTGTACTATTTTCTCCCCAGTTGGTTGAGCTAATGACTTCTCAGTGGATAATGGGGCAGGACCAGAATTGGTTCAATAATAAAACCGAAATGGAGAAGGAGAAAGGTAACCTTACTTAAATCTGTAGCTTTCTCGTTTATTATTCACAAATCCATCTGCCAGATCATGTGGTAAGATGATTTCCAAACTGGGTGTTAATTTTTCATCTTCGTCTATGGAATAAATCTGCAAATAAGCAGACAAGAAATGAATACAAATGGGCAAAATTCCAGCCAGAACTCTGGCCATGTTTTTGTGATTTGTATTGCAATGGTCTAAAAGTTATACTTTTAAGATAAAATGTCACCGGGTGCTGGTGGCTCACATCTGTAATCCTAGCTCCTCAGGAGGCTGAGGTCTGAGGATTGTAGTTCAAAGCCAGCCTGGGCAGGAAAGTCCATGAGACTGTTTGTCTCTAATCACCATAAGTGGTGATTAGCCCTGAAACTGGAAGTGGCACTGTAGCTCAAAGCTGCAGAGAAAACTAGCCTTGAGAGAAAAAGCTCAGGGAAAGTGCCCAGGCCAAGTACAAGCCCCATGACCGATTGAAAAAAAAGAAAGATGCCGGGTACCGGTGGCTCACGCCTATAATCCTAGCTACTCAAGAGGCTGAGATCTGAGGATTGTGGTTGAAAGCCAGCCTGGACAGGAAAGTCCATGAAACTCTTCTCTCCAATAAACTACCAGAAAAGTGGCACTGTGGCTCAAGTGGTAGAGCACTAGCCTTGAGCTGAAGAGCTGAGGGACAGCGTTCAGGCCCAGAGTTCAAAGCCCACGACAGACCAAATAAAAAAGAAAAAAGGATAAAAATGTCATAAAGTAGTATAATTTGGATATTTTTTCTTAGATTTGCATATTAGCTTCAAAATATATACAGAAGAAGAGTTAAAACCTAAAACAAAGCTCAAATACTCTTTGAGTGATCTAAATTTGAGTGATCAAATTTGAACCTTTGAATGTCTCATTGTTATTGAAAAGTAATAGCCCTGAAACCTAAGTATTGCTGCCATATTATGGATCAGAGGTTAACATGTTACTACAACCAATACACATTTCCAAGCATTTGCATAATACTAGCCACAAAGATACAAGGATGAGGTCTGAGCTTTCTGAGAGCTCACAAGAATGTTCAGATTTATGTCTAAAAGCTCAAGTTTTCCAAACATATTTGATGAGAGACATGTGATCTCAAAAGACACATGCACTGCACATCTTTGATGAGATTTTCCAAGTTTTCATCCTAGCCTAGCCAGTGATTGGCAATTGATGGGAGAGAAATGACTTATCCTCTCTAAGCTGATGTGGAAATGGAGGCTCCTAACCGAACACTCCACAAGTATAAGCATTCTCTGAATCTCTTCTTGGTTACCAACTTTCGTGTTTAATGCCCAGGAAAATCAAGATTCAAGCTTAAGAGAAATAAATCACGTGGAACAGGGAAATGGGGAGGGTTCGGTGTCTACGTGCTGAGCTCCATTTACCAGAATCAAGGCTCCTTATTCATAAAATGAGAAAAACAGAGTTGCCACCCATCAAAGATTCTGGAGGGTGGAGGATAGGGGGATAAAATGACGTAATGGAAATGGAAGCATTTTGTAATGCATCATAAAAAAGTTAGTCGTTAGATTTAGAGATTTTTTTTAAATTTTAAAAAAGACGCCTTGTCTTTCACCAGGAAATAAAATTCTTTCTTACAAGCAATGCTTCCTGTTTAAGACCCATTTAGATGCCTGACTGGGGATGGAGGGAGGGACAGGAGTCATATTCCTAAGCAAATAAAAGCCTACCTAAATCTCTAAAAAGTATGAATAATTTCCTAAACTGATTATTTTTTTATTGAAGCTGCCCGTTTAAATTGGGAAACTTCTGTAAAATAAGTTATTTGGAGAAAGTAATGTTGTAAGGTTCAAGGTTTTCTGGCTCAGTTGTCTCAAGAGATATTTAAAAAGTCTGTCCTGCAGGGCACTGAATTAAAAAAGGAATTTAATAGCCAGACAGGTGAGTGAAGGAATGTGTAAGACACAAAACACACAGGGTTTATGCATTAAAAAAAAAACAACCAAAAAACTGTAACAGGGTAGGCTACCTTGTTCTTCACATACCTGAAGTAACCATTCTTGGGGGATATTTAAGTAAAGCCCCTAAGGCTAGACAATTTTGGCCTATAATACATTGGCTTTCTGTCTTTGCTCATAAAAATAGTTATCATTTAAGATAGGATAGGTTCTTTTTTGTTTGTTTTGTTTTGTTTGTAGGGGAGAAGACGGAAGAAATGCAAAGGTGAATATAAAAATGTTTCTGAAAAAGTATAAATAAAACACAAAACAGGGCCATGGTTAAAAATTACCAGTTATTTATACAGCCAGGTGCCAGTAGCTCACGCCTGTAATCCTAGCTACTCAGGAGACTGAGATCTGAGGATTGCAGTTCAAAGCCAGCCTGGGGAAGAAAAGTCCCTGTAAGATTCTTATCTTCAGTTAACCACTTAAACATGGGAAGTGACAGCTGTGGCTCAAAGTGCTGGCCTTGAGCAAAAGAGCTCAGGGACAGAGCCCAGGCCCTGAGTTCGAACCCCACAACTGACAAAAAGATAAAATAAAAAATTACCAGGTATGTTTATGCTATATTTATCTTGTTTGCTAACCAATACGTTGTAATTTAACTTATAATGCCTTAAAATACGATTACTAAAGCCTTGGAATCACTGCTCGCCCAATGACACCAATCCCATATGCAGGCAGAGAAACAACTATCTAGAGGATGTGGGGTTAATATGTGATGTTTCTAAAGGTGATGGAGCTATACTCATTCTGTATTCTTTCCTTCCTGCTCGCTTTCTGGGTTGGTGGCATTTCATTATACCCTGGGAAGAATGTAGCATCATGAAAATTCAATTGTAACACCTAAAAAACTTCTTAGAGGATCAAACAACCTACTTGCCAGACTCCCCTAAGAAATAGAAAGAGGTACATTAAAATATCTAGTACTTCTGGGAAAGAAAAGGTTCAGTATTAAATCCAAGACTCTCAATCAACTTGCCAATCCTGCCCCTCCTCTCTTCCTCCTTTTCCACAGTGGGGCATGATTCTAGGAGGAGATAAAAATGGAAATATGTCTATGGATCTTTTCTATACTATTTTATTTTTTGTGACACTATGGGGGCTTGAACTCAGGGCCATATGCTCTCACTTGGCTTTTTCATTCAAGGCTGGCACTCTACCACTTGAGCCACACCTGATTTTTGCTGGTTAACTGGAAATGAGTTTCATCAACTTTCCTGCCAGACTAGCTTCAAACCAGGCTCCTCAGATCTCAGCCTCTGAATAGCTAGGATTTCAAGCATGAGCCATTTTGCCCAATGCTATTTTATATGGAACAAAACAAAACCTTATTTTTTGCATGTTCTAAATGTTTTCTATGAGGAAAAAAAGGGCTGGTGTTAAAGATGATATAGACATTATATTTTCATTGTATTATTACATAAATGGTATGATACAAATGCTATCATGTTACACATATACACAATAAAGATATAATAGAGGGATGGAATATTATAGACACACTGTAGGCACTCTAAATAGAAACCAAATTATGCTTGCCTTAATTCTCACTTTGGAAGTCAGAAAAACATACTCTTTTTTTTTTTTTTTTTTTTTTTTTGTCGATTGTGGGGCTTGAACTCTGGGCTTAGGCACTGTCTCTTCAGCTCAATGCAAGCGCTCTACCACTTGAGCCACAGCACCACTTCTGGTTTTCTAGTGGTTTATTGGATATAAGAGTCTCACAGTCTTTCCTGTCCGGGCTGGCCTTGAGCCGTGATCCTCAGATCTCAGCCTCCTGAGTAGCTAGGATTACAGCCATGAGCCACGGGCGCCTGGCTTTCGTTTTGCCCGAAGAGGGAATAGCTTTGGCTTAAAAACAAAACAACAACCACAAAAAAAAAAAAAAAAAAAAAAAAAACCCCTTAAACTTACAGTTCTGCTGCTCCAGAGTTGAGTGTCCCAGCTTCATGATTTACCTGAGATTCAGTTTCTTGACTTTAAAATGAGGAACATGATACCAACCTTGCAGAGTTTTTTTTGAGAACCAGAGATTGTGCAAGTTAAGCACCTGTCCCATGCCAAATTCTCAAGACATGGTCAGAATGATTATGCTGGGTTTTAGATAGAGAAAACAATGTTTTGAAAGATATATGAGCAGTACAAATTACCTCTGCTTAGAGCAAAGGCAATACTTTAACTTCATAACGATCTGAATTTACCTCACCTGAGGACACACCCAATAAATCTCCATTAGCATTTGTTGAATGATGTGTGGTGAGGATTCCTTGTGTCATACTACAAAAGTATCTCTGACTTTGTCTACAATAAGTATATATCAAGATCCATGTTTATGTTGCAAAGTGCTAACACTGTTAGTTAAGAAATTCCTGCCGTTTCCATTGCATGTAAAGTACTGAGTTAGGTATATGTCCTGTGTATCTGCTTCCGCCTGTTTTTGTATCATTTCAGACCCTTATAAACATGCATCTCTTGCTCCTACATAGTAGAAAAAAATACATGTGAGTGAACTTGTTGTGTGAGTGTGGAGATACGTGACAGTTTTCTAGAGAGGTGCAGGACAGTACCTGTGTGTAGTTGAGGAGCAGTCTGCGAGTATGCAAATAGTCATTCATGCACTACAAACAAGCATGCATGTATGAAAGGTTCCTGTGTGTGGCTAAGGCAGTCTGTGAGTGTGCAAACAGACATGCATGCACTACAAATAGGCACGCATGCACTAAGATAGTCTAAGTGTGCAAGCAGACACGCATGCACTACCAACGAGCATGCCTGCACGAGGGTGCCTTGCGTGGCTGAGGCAGTCTGTGAGTGTGCACACACGTGCAGGCCCTACAAACACGCGTGCGTGCGCGGGTGCTTGGGGCGCCTAGGCCAGGAGCAGGGGTGGGCTGGTCTGCTCCTCCCGGGCTGCACGAGGTGGGCGTGGCCCGGCGTCCCCCGCGTCCCCGACGGCGTGCGCGCGTCTGCGTGGCTGCGGGGGCGTCGGGGTCGGCGCGTGCGGGATTCCGGGGCGCCCCTCACCCCGACCCCGGCCCGGAGCCCTCGCGTGCTGACCCGCCCGCTCCCGGGACAGAGGTCCCGCCGTGCCGGAGCCCCCCCCCCTCCTCCCAGCTGGCCTGTACCCCTGATTGTTGCTTCCGGGCCGGGGGCTTCACTCGAGCGAAAATCTGGATCGTCTGCTTCACCATCGCGGCCCTGGCTAGGGCTGACCCTTGACCTCTCACGCCTGGGCCGCCAAGACCTCCGACTCCCACTACCTCCGGCCACTTGCAGCCTTAGCAACAGTAACTAGGGACACTACCCAAAAAGCAACGCGGCAACCGGGACCACGCCTCTTCTCCCTAATTGGTCGCCGTCTAGGAGGGGCGGCCCGAGGGGAGTGGGCTGAGGGCGGGGTTGGGGCGGAGCCAGGCGGGGAGCGCTACGCTTGCGCATTAGCCAGGGTCTGAGTCCTGGATTTAAAGGGACCGTAAGTATCCTTCCCTGCCAGCTTATTTAACAGTACATTCCCTTTTCCTTGACTTCACCTCTATTCTGCCCTTTATTGTGCGTTCATTGAAGACTTGGTGCTTCATCTGTGGGCAAACAGTATTCTGGCTGAGACTTTCTCAAGCGGAGGAAAAGTGCCCTGGCCCACTTGGAGATGGTTTTCAACAGAAAGTTAGAACCCAGAAATCAGGGCAGTGCAGTGGTCCAGGTAGGTAGGTGCAAGACTGTCTCTCTCTGCTTTGGAGGAGACGAAGCCTGGAAGGGGAAGACTCCCTCCCCTGTAACAGACATGTCAAGACCGAATGAGCAACTCAAACAACAGTCTTAGCAATGTCTGCTGGAGAAATACAAATTGAAACCACAGTGGATCCCACGCTACACCTTTCAGAAAGGCTGAATTAAAAAAAAATTTAAATACTGACACAAAGGACGATACTCTTAGGGGAGAAACACAAAGTCATAATGCCTATGTACCTCTGATCATATGCAATAATATTTATCGAAATGAATTCCAGGAAATGGAAGCGAGAGTTGCTTTTTTTTTTCTTTCTTTGCTTTTTGTCTTTTTTTTTTTAAATCAGTCTTTGGGGGGAGTGTGGGCGAGTATGGAAATAGAGGAACAAAGGAAACAGTAATATCTCTGCACATCACCTTTATAATAACAATAAAAATATTTAATAATAAAAATAGTGACAACATGTATACTGAGAAGGATACAGAGAAAAAGATTCGCTCACACTGTACTGGTGGTGAGAATGTAAAGTCTATACTGTATATTGGTACAGCCAATCTGGAAAAGATTTGACTTTTTTGTTTTGAGACTGAGTATTACAATGTAGCCCAGGTTGGCGTCAAGCTCCCACATTAGGCATTTATTCCAGAGATACTAAAATTTCTGCTCACACAAAAAAATTTGTGAGCATTTATAATAGTCCCAAAGTGAAGACAACTCCGATGTCATTCCACTGAGAATGGTTAAGCAAACTGTGGAATATTATTTATCAATGAAGAGGAATGAACATTTAACAACTTGGATGACGTTCCAGGGAATTACATGGCATTTATATTAAAAACAGCTGCCAGGTTCTGGTGGCTCACACCTGCAATCCTAGCTACTCAAGAGGCTGAGATCTGAGAATTGAGATTCAGAGCCACCCCAGGCAGGAAAGACCATGAGACTCTTATCTTCAATAAGCCATCAGAAAACCAGAAGTGGTGCTGTGGCTCAAGGGGTAGAGTGCTCGCCTTGAGCTGAAGAGCTCAGGGACAGTGCCTAAGCCCAGAGTTCAAGCCCCATGACCCACCAAAAAAAAAAAAAAAGCCAAATTCAGAAGTTAAATACTATATGATTTCATTTACATAACCATCTTGAAATAATAACATTACAAAGACCAAGAAGATTAGTGTTGTTCAGAGGGAAGACAGGGTATAAAGTAGTTATGAGCTGGGTGCTGGTAGCACATACCTGTAATCCTAGCTACTCAGGAGGCTGAGATCTGGGGATCATGGTTCAAAGCCAGCCCAGGCAGGAAAGTCTGTGAGACTCTTATCTCTAATAAACTACTCAGAAAAAGCCAGAAGTGGTGCTGTGGCTTAAGTAGTACAGCGCTAGCCTTGAACACAGAAAGGCTCAGGTCCTGAGTTCAAACCCCAGGACCAGCAAAAAACAAAACAAAACAAAAAAAGTACTTATAAAGAAATAGGGCTGGGAACGCGGCTTAGTAGTAGAGTGCTTGCCTTGCAGCATGAGCCCTAGGTTCGATTCCACAGTACCACATAAATAGGAAAAAAAGAAGCTGGAAGTTGTGCTGTGGCTCAAGTGGTAGAGTAGTAGTCTTGAGCAAAAGAAGTTCAGGGACAGTGCCCAGACCCAGAGTTCAAGCTCTACGACTGACAAAAGAAAGAATGAATGAAAGAACAAAAGGAAGAAAGAAAGAATTGTGGTTTCTAATCCTAGCTACTCAGGATCCTGGCTAAGAGCAGAAAGATCATTTAAAGGCAGCCCAGAGAGAAAAGCTCCTGAGACTCATCTCAACATTAACCCTCAGAAAATGAAACTTGGAGGTGTGGCTTAAGTGGTAGAGTGCCAGCTTAGCCAACTGAAGGCCCTGAGGTCAAACCCCGGTTCAACAAAGAAGAAAGAAAATCAGATGAGCTGCTATGTATCTAACTGAAATGCCCGATGATGCAGCCCTGCAGGGAACACAATCACACACCCACAAATGAGGGTGTCTAGTAAGAGTGAGAAAGACTGACAATTGCACCAGTGTCAGCCCCTGATCATAACACTGCACTGTAGTTATGCAAGCTGTAAATCCTGTGGGAAACTAGAGGAAGAGTATGCAAACTCTCTCTGAGAATCTACCATTATCTCAAAATAAATCACTTTTTAAGGCCGCCCTTATGAAAATGGAAAAGCAAGACAATTGGAGAGAAAATTTTTGCAAACATCTGATAAAGGACCTGCATCTAAAATATATAAGAATGTTAATATCCCCCAAATAGAAATAAATCCAAAGAAGAGATGGGAGGAGTCAAATATTTATACAAATGCATCACTAAAAAACAATATATGGCTGGTTACAAATAAAAGGTGCATGAAAAAAATATGTCCCAAACTTTTCACTATTAGTGAAATGCAAGTTAAAGCCCAATGCTGCACCACCATGTTAAGAAAAGAAAACTGGGACCGGGAAGGTGGCTTAGTGGTAGAGTGCTTTCTAGCATGCATAAGGCCCTGGGTTCCACTCCTTGGTACCAAATAAAACAAAAAATAATATTAATAAAATTTAGAAAGAAAAGAAAATGGAGAACAGCAAGTGTTGGCACTGGCTCGGATCATCTGGAATTCCCAAACATCACAAAGAAAAAAGCAAAACAGATCCGCCACTTTGAAAAAGCAGTTTCATACAAAGCAATACATATCATTACCATCTAAACCCAGAAACCCCATGCCCAGCTGTTTACTGAAATGAAATGAAAACGTATGCTCACTCAGAAATGTAAATATGGATGTTTATAGTGGCTTTATTCACAATTGTGGAAAACCAGGAACATAGTAAATGCTCTTCAACGGGTGAATAAACAAAGCGGTACATCCATGTAATAAAAAGGGATGAGCTACAGATGCCTGCATCATGGTTAAGTCTCAAATTTATTATGTTGTGTGAAAGATGCCAGACTCAACAGTATACATGTTCTATTTCCATGTATATGACATCTTAGGGAAAAAAAGAAAAGCGAAAAAAGAACCATAGGGTTAGAAAGCAGAGCAGTGGTTTCCAAAGACAGAGAAAGGGGAAGGAGTTGGCTGCAAAATGAGCACAGAAGAGCTGGGAGAAGGAACGATGGAACTATTGTGTGTTTTGCTTGCGGTTGTGGTTACATAATATAACTATGTGCATCTGTCAAAACTCATAGAACCATCTATATATACTTGAAATGGTGCACTGTAGATAAATTTTATACCATAACTTAAAAACAGAATGGAGTATGAACAGGTGTAGAAATGAGGCTGGAGAAGAGAAGAAGAGAACCAGTTGTGTGTTAAATAGGTGCCACCTGGAGAGGAGGAGGTGAGTCATGATGGAGTAACTAAGTGCAGGTATTCACCTGGACAGGTGAAATCGATTTGACTGGGGCAGAAGAAGAGATGTGTTAAAGTCCAAGGGCCTGGGGGAATTGGACAGGTGATGGGAAGAATCCTAGAAGAAACCTATGGCTGACAAGATGAATTTGGAAGTCATTAATTTTTTTTCCCCTACCATTGGAATGGGTACTGAAATACTGCCCTGGATGGATAGAAAGGGAAGGGACTGTGGAGAAAGCTGGAGCAAGCAGGCACATCCTGGAGGCCAACAGCCCGGAACATTCTGAGGAGAAGAAAGTGTTGAGCAGAGTGGGGAAATCAAGAGGACACAACCTCCAGAATGCACACGTGAGCAAGCGGAAGGCGTCCGTGGTCCAAACGGTGTGTTCAGAGGAGGAGGGCGATCAGGAGTGAACCGGGTCAAGGTGGAGAGCTACCTGTGATGTGAGGAGGCAGAGGCAGACAAGCCAGGTGACTCATTTACCAGAAGCTTCTCTGTGAAAGATGATAAAGGAGCAAAACACAACAGTGAAAGCTAGAGACGAAGCCTGAGGAAGGAGCGTTGGTTCACCTCTAAGGCATCAAGTCTAGAAGAGAAGGGTAGATGGAAACACAAAGAGAAGAGGAAATGGGGGTGGCGGGGGTGGGAGTGGGGTGGGGGGTGCGGTAAGGGGAGGTCACCCCAGGTGACCTGGTGTTATTTTACCAAGAAGACCGTGATAAAAGGCAAAAGATGCAAGGAATCTTAAGAGCAATCACAACAGAGTGCATTAGACGTTAGCAGGAACTGTAAATTCTAGGCTGCTTTAAGATGCTTGTGGCTTTTGCACAGAGGGCTGGTCTAGAGGGGGAGGGGAATTAATTAATGGGGCTGGGATATAGGAAGTCATGCTTCCTGTCTTGAGTTCTGGGTCATGTGATCTAATGTGAGGAGGAGGGGGAGGAGGAGGAGGAGGGAGAGGGGGAGGAGGAGGGGGAGGGGGAGGAGGAGGAGGTATAGATTGGAAGCCAGAAATAGTGATCTCATTAAGTGATCATAGAGGTTAAATGGGGTGTGTGTGTGTTAAAATGGCAGTGCATATCCAGTGGATTGGCAAGGTTCATACCTCTGGTTTGGAATTTTTTGAGTTCTGACCTTTGTTTTTTTATGTTTTTTGTTTTGTTGTCTTAAAC